TGTTTATCTATATACCTTAACTCCTAATTAACATTTTTATCTAAAAGATTGAGCTTTCAAATCCAATTGTCTCCCATGAGAGCGATCTATTCTCTCCCATGAGAGCGATTGATTCTAGTTTTCCTAGATCTTCTGATTCTTGTTTAACGTCGCTTGATTAACTCTTTTTCTCCCCCGATCTCAGCTTAATTTGGGCGTCTTCGTCTTCTTCAGTTTCTCCTTTCTTTTTCTCTTGTTCTATTTCAGCCATTAGGGTTTCTGTAAATGGCAGAAGATTCTCACACTCGTAATGGTGAAGATCTATCAGATCGTTTAAAAGCCTTCTCCTTATCCGACTGGGAAGCTAAAGTAGTTGATATCGCCCAAGACGACATTCGGCTTAGTGACGATGAATGTCAAAGGAGCCTTTTCGGAAAGGTTATCGGTGATTGACCAGCAAGTTGGATTGGGATCAGACGTGCAATGTCACAAATTTGGAAGCTTAATCAGCCTATGGAAGTCAAGGAGCTCAGTCCAAATTACTTCCAATTCATTTTCCAAAATCTAGATGACAAGAAGAAGGTGGCAACAGGCACTAACTGGAGTTTTGAAAATCAATACCTAATTCTCCGTGAGTGGACAAGAGGGATTTGTAGCAAGCATCCGAGTTTTCAAGAGCTTAATTTATGGGTTCAAGTTCACAACATTCCGCTCAACTGGGTCAGTTCTGAGGTGGTTTTCAAAATCGGGAAAGCTTTCAAGAACCTAAAGAATGTGGTGTTGGCTACTATTGGCAATCATGGAGGGAAATTATTGCGATTGCTGGTCACTCTGGATACAGATGAGCCTATTCCTAGAATCCTTAATATTCGGCTGGGTGATCAAGTAGTCAATGTTATGTTTAAGTATGAAAAGCTTCTGAATCTTTGTCATTACTGTGGCAAGATTGGTCATCTAGACCGTTCTTGTGCCAAGAAAATGAATGATGTAGCTAATAACTCTATGAGAGAGGGGCAATATGGTGACTGGTTGAGGGCTGCTGAGGGCCAACGATGGTCTCCTGGAAATGTTTCTGGCTCAAGATCTTCTCCTCCAAGGGACTCACCATCCATGGCTGAGAACACTACAGCTCAAGATTTTTCTTCTAGCCTTCCCACGAGTAGTCATCGTCTTACCCAGAGCCAAGAGGATACCCTATCTCCGGCTAAATCTGTAGCCACCCCATCCCTTGTTTCAGCAATCCAAGCTCCCAATATTGAGGAAGGCTTAGTGGAAAACAACCTTCAGATAGTGGAATCCTCAGGGATGGATATAGAAAAGGAAGTTTCTATCCCCAACACTTTATTTCTGCAAGATTACCAACAAGGCTCCAAAACTCCTTCTCTCAAATCATGGAAGAGGGCAGGCAACAGTAAAGGCAGACTGCAAAGAACTTCTGAGCCGCCTTTAATCATTGATCAGCTATTGAAAGGAAAAAGGGTCAGAGAAGATCTCACTTCAGAAGAAGCTACAAATGAAGATGTTGATATCAACCAGGTTCAAGCCAAAAAACTCAAAGCAATATCTGAAAAGGTGGGGGTTGCCAGCCTTGAATGGCACCACCCTGATCAATGTTAGCTATGGTGTGGAATTGTAGAGGGCTGGGTGGGCCCTCTACAATTTCCCAAATCAGAGAGTTATTGAGAACTCACCATCTGAATTTTCTGTTCCTGTCTGAAACAAAAAAACAAAATGCTTTTGTTAAATCTGTTTGTAATAAATTAGGTTTTGATAATAGGATGATTGTTGTTGACCCTGTTGGTCTTAGTGGTGGTCTGGTTCTGTGTTGGACTCCCATTGTCACTGTTCTTAATATTCAGTCTAAAGACTTCTACATTGCTGTTAATTTTCAAATCAATTCAGATGTACCCCAATGGGGAATTTTTGTTTACCTTAGTCCCTGTAGATTAATCAAAGAGAAACAATGGGATGACATGATTGTGGACAAGCAGTCATGGGGTCACAACTGGTTCTTTCTTGGTGATTGGAATGATCTTCTTGCTCTATCTGACAAGACAGGAGGTATCACTAGAAGGGAGCATAGCTTTCAAGGTTTCCAAAGCTTCATCAATGCAATGGATATGTCAGAAGTCAAATTTGAGGGCTACCCCTTTACTTGGTGTAACAACCGTGCTGTTCCTGACCTTGTTGAAGAAAAACTTGACAGAGCCTTTGGTTCCTTAGGCTGGTCTCAACTCTTTCCTAATGCATCTATCCACAATGTTATCAGGAGCTCCTCTGACCACTCTGCTCTGCTTCTTGATTTGGGATGCCAAGACAGAAAAGGAAATCCCCCTTTCATTTTGACAAAAGATGGATCAGTAAAGAAGGCTTCAGAGATGTTGTGGAAAAAGCTTGGATCACACCAGTGAATGGCACTCCTTTTTTTAAGCTGAAGGAAAAAGTTAAATTCACCAAGATTGCCTTACTTATCTGGAGTTCTTCTTTCCAGTCACAGCATCAGAGGCTTATGGCTGAGCTCACCCACAAGCTGGAGACTATCAATGCAGATAAAACTGAAGATAATTGGGATGAATGGATCAAAACTCGAAGGGAGCTGAATAAGGTGCATTCTCAAGAAGAAGTTTATTGGCAGTAAAAGGCTAAACACAAGTGGCTGAGAGAGGGAGATGCAAATACTCGTTTTTTCCATGCATATACTCTTCAAAGGAGAAAGCTTAATGCAATAACAAGACTTGTCTCTGCTCAGGGTAATGTGTTTACATCTCAAGAGGACATTGCAAATCACATCTCAGACTTCTATAAATCCCTCTTCACCTCAGAAGGCAGCTGGGGGGGAGACTCTATTCTCCCTCACATTTCTCCTTGCATTACTGAGGATATGAATCAATCCTTGCTCAAACAAGTGGAAGAGGAGGAAGTCAAAGGTGCTCTTTTCAGCCTTCCACCAGATAATTCTCCGGGTGAAGATGGTATGACTGCCAGATTCTACCAACATTTCTGGGATCTGATCAAACCTGACCTAATGAGTGCTGTGACTAGTTTCTTTCATTCAGGTATGATTCTCAAGTACTGGAACCATACAGTGGTATCCCTTATTCCCAAATGTGATAATCCTGATACTTTGAATCACTACAAACCAATTAGCCTCTGTTGTGTTGTTTATAAAATTGTATCCAAAGTGATTGCTCTAAGGCTGAAAGGTTGTCTCAGTTCCTGCATTAGTGATTATCAGGCAGCATTCATAGAGGGCAGACAATTAACTGATAATGTGATCATAGCTCAGGAGGCCTTCCATTTCTTAAACAGGCATTCATCTGGCCCTAACTTCTTTATGGCTTTGAAATTAGATTTGGTGAAAGCATTTGATCGTGTTGAATGGATTTGTTTGAAAAAAATCATGCTCCAAATGGGTTTTCATTCTGATTTTGTCAAGCTCATTATGGTCTGCATCTCTACTGCCTCATTCTCATTCAAAGTTAATGGATCAACTTGTGGCTTTGTTTCTTCAACTCGAGGTATCAGACAGGGGGACCCCTTGTCCCCCTATTTATTTATCATTGTAGCAGAATTGCTCACTGCTCTCATCTTAAACTCCATTGACAATGGCATGCTGAAAGGGATGAAGTTGTCTAGAAATGGTCCATTGCTTTCACACCTCTTATTTGCAGACGACTCTCTATTCTTCTGTAGAGTTGGTATTGATCAAGCAGGCATTCTCATGAACATATTAGAGCAATACAGGTTGTTTACAGGTCAAACTGTCAATCTTCAAAAATCTGCCATATTTTTCAGCAAGAATACCCCTCAGAATATTCAGACTGCCATTTGTAGAGCAATGAATGGAATTACATCTCACAGATCAACCAAATACCTTGGTCTACCACTGGCGATTGGCAAGTCCAAGAAGGAAGTTTTTGAATATCTTCTGATCTCAGTAAGGAAAAAGCTTACCAGCTGGAAGACAAAGTTTCTTAGCACTGCAGGGAAGGAGGTTCTAGTTAAAGCTGTTATCCAAGCCCTTCCTATTTTCACCATGTCCTGTTTCTCCTTGCCTGTATCTATCTGTACTGAAATTGCTAAGCTATGTGCCCAATTCTGGTGGCACTCTAATTCAGAGCAGGCAAGAGGAATCCACTGGAAGAAATGGAGCTTTCTTACTCTTCCCAAAGAAAATGATGGTCTAGGTTTTCTTGACTTGCAGCTTTTCAACAAGGCCATGATCTGCAAGCAATTGTGGAGGATAGCTGCCTACCCTGATCTTCTTGTGAGTAAACTACTTAAGGACAGGTACTTTCCCCACACTTCTATTGTGCATGCCTCTAAAATACAGGGTGGTTCCTGGATGTGGAACAGTTGGATGGACTTGATGCCCTTGTTTGCTAAATGGCTCATGATTGAAGTCAGAAATGGGGCTGGCACTAGAATAGCTGATTTTAACTGGGTTCCTAATTTGAATAAGCCAACTCCCAACCTTATTCCCATTGCAAGGGGCCATCTCATCTGGGTTAGAGAACTTCTGCATAGTGATGGTGTACATTGGAATGAATGGCTTGTCCAACAGGTCTTCAATGCCTCTGACAGTCAAGCCATTTTAAAGATCTCTACCCTTCATCCCCATAGACCTGACAGAATTTACTGGGGGCTTGACCAGAAAGGGCAGTTTTCTGTTTCTGGGACCTATAAATTTCTTTGCAAAAACAAGGCTTTGATGGCTGACTTTCCTGAATGTAGCAATAACAAGGAGATCAAGATAGCTACTAAATCAAGGCTCTGGAAATTGAAAATAGCAACAAAGATTAAGCATTTCCTTTGGAAATGCATTACAGGTACTCTCCCTGTTGCTGTCCATCTGAAGAAAAGGGGAGTGGAGATTGATACTACATGCTGTGTGTGTGTGGACGTAGCAGAGACTGTTGAGCACATCCTCTTTAACTGTAGAAGAGCAGTCACTGTCTGGAAATTGAGCCCTTTGAACTGGGATGGCTTACAGTGCTGCACTGATTCTTTTAAGACTTGGTGGTATTACATTTGTTCCCTTGACAACTCTGAGGTTGCTGAAGCTCGAATCCAACTCACTACAT